ACTGTGGGGGCCATTATCCGGAAATGGAAAGAGCATCAGTTCACCATAAACCTGCCACGATCAGGTGCTCCACGCAAGATCCCTGTCCGAGGAGTCCAAAGAATAATCAGGAGAGTTCTCCAAGAGCCAAGAACCACTCGGACAGAACTTCAGGAAGACCTTGCATCAGCAGGTACTGTTGTTTCAAAGAAAACTATAAGCAATGCACTGAACCGCCATGGCATCCATGCACGCTCACCACGCAAGACTCCATTGCTGAACAAAAAGCATGTCAAGGCTCGGTTAAAATTTGCGCAACAGCATTTGGAGAAGCCTGTGGATTATTGGGAGACTATAGTATGGTCAGACGAAAGCAAAATTGAACCTTTTGGCAGCCATTCCACACACCATGTTTGGAGAAGAAATGGCACTGCTCACCACCCCAAGAACACCATACCAACAGTTAAGTTTGGGGGTGGTAGCATCATGGTTTGGGGCTGCTTTTCAGCAAGGGGTACTGGCAGACTTCATATTATTGAAGGCAGGATGAATGGAGAGATGTACCGGGACATTCTGGATACAAATCTGCTGCCATCTACCAGGAAGCTAAAAATGAAAAGAGGGTGGACATTTCAGCAAGACAATGATCCCAAACACAAGGCCAAGGAAACAATGAAGTGGTTTCAAAGAAAGAAAATCAAGTTGCTTGAATGGCCCAGTCAATCACCTGACCTAAATCCCATAGAAAATCTATGGAGAGAACTGAAGATTAAAGTTCATAAAAGAGGCCCAAGGAACCTTCAAGATTTAAAGACCGTTTGTGTGGAAGAATGGGCCAGAATCACTCCTGAGCAATGCAGACGACTGGTCTATCCATACAGGAGGCGTCTAGAAGCTGTAATCACCAACAAAGGCTTTTCTACAAAGTATTAAATAAAGTGTGTTCAATACTTATTCCCTGTGTCATTGCACTTTATTTAATATGATTCAACTTGTGTACTTAAATGTTCTGATTTGTTTGTATGACTTCAATATTTGGCTTGATGGCAACATCTGGTGGAAATGTTGTGTCAATAGTCCACTTAGAAATCCCCTTACTGATAAAAATGCTGATGTGTCAAATACTTATTTTCCCCGCTGTAAAGGCAAGAAATGCCACAAACAAACCCTGAAAAGGCACACCTGTGAAGTGAAAACCATTGCAGCTGACTACATCATGAAGCTCATCGAGAGAAGGCCAAGAGTGTGCAAAGCAGTGGCTACTTTGAAGAATCTAAAATGTAAAACATATTTTGAGTTATTTCACTTTTTTTTGTTTACTACATAATTTCATATGTGTTCATTCATAGTTTTGATGCCTTCAGTCAGAATCTACAATATAAATAGTCATGAAAATAAAGAAAAACCTAAAAATGAGAAGCTGTGTCCAGACTCTTGACGTGTACGTCTGTGGTTTTCTTTTCTTTTCTGTTTTTTTCTTCTTCTATGAACAGAAACCGATTTCATAATCCTGTGTATCTACTGTCTGAGTCACTGTGTGAAAAAGACAGACCATAAGAATATGCAGATATCTACATATTTATTCCTCCTGAAAAAAAAGGAACATTATGTGAAACATTGTGCATTTTCCTCAGGTCATAGCAGAATGTGATTTTTTTTAAAATACAGAAACAGTAACCTGAAAATAAAAGTTAAGTTCTGACACAACAGTTGTGTTCATTATGGTGCAACAAACCTGTGAGCACAAACACTGAGCCACTGTCATCAGACTAAGGGGATATTTGTTGGGTAGGTGGCAGTGAACGCCAGTGTTCAGTGAACATCTAAACTGACAAAGACATTTAAAAATAAAAATAAAGCAGTTTACATACAATACTGTGCAAAAGTCTTAAGTCAGCACTCCGATATCTGGATTAAGCTTCGAAGGAGGCAGACTTGTTGGTATTTTTAAACCAGTTTTGAGCAATAGTCCACTCCCTGCGCCGGATCATTTTCAGAGGAATGTTTTTTAACACCGACCTATGAATTAAACAAGCATAAAAAAGGCACCTAACCCAAGTAATGAACCAGTGTCATGTCTATACGCACCAGACAAATTAGCAAAGAACCAATTATTAAATTGTATCTTTAGGCACTTTGTTATTAGAAGTCTGCTGCAAAAACATAAAAATTTATTTTCTCATGTATTTTATTGAAACTACAAAAAATGCCAAAGGTAGTTTGACTGGCTTAAAATACTATTTGTGCACAAACAAGGTGATTACCAAAGGGCGACTTCCTGAAAACTACATACCTCAGCATGATGTGCAGTGTGTCTTTGAGAAATGAGAGGAAAGAGGACAAGCAGAGGACAAAAAGAAGAAGTAGCAGTTCAATAGCAGATGAACAGTCATTTTAAAGGAAGGCAATCAGGCAGAAAAGGGTGAGATATGCTAAATTACACAAGAACTGGACTGAAAATCAGCAGAAACAGGTCATCAGGAGTTTCTACAGCGATCTGTAAAACACAGCAAGGCTCTGTCATGGTTTCGGGCTGTATTTCAGTGAACGGTGTTGGGGATTTTGTTAAAGTTGATGGAATTATGAACGCTGAAAAGTACCCTATGGTCATCAGTCATGGGTTGGACTACCGAGAGCCTGGACTTACTGCTATTACTATAACGGATCATACCTACAGAGAATGAAATAAAAAACAGCCAACATCCAAAGAAGAGCTTTGAATGTTCTTCAAGAAGCCTGGAGAACTATTCCTGAAGACTTCTCAAAGAAATTACAAGAAAGCTGACTAAGAGCATTCAGGCTGTGTTGAAGAGTAAAAATGGTCATACCCAAAAATTCACTTTTGGGCTTGCTAGAATTTTACAAACTTTTTTCTTTGCCTTATAAACTATATTTCTGTGTATGTCGGTGTATGTTTCATGACATCCCTGCACCCATTTCCCATTTTCCTATAAAGAAATGACATGTGGCTCAAGACTTTTCCACAGTACTGCATAAAATTTAGGACGTACGTCTGAACGAGTCTGTAAGATCAAGAAAATAAGGAAATATAATGAAGCTTAGAGCTCAGTGAAAACAATGTGACATTAGAGTGAATAAATATAGTTTAGATCTTAAATAATAGCCTATGTTCAATAATACTCAACATCACTGTTTCACACATTTTCCTGTGTTTTTCACACCTCTAGCACAATTTATGTTTAAACTGAGTTGCCATTTCCACAGTTGTGTTCCTCTGCAGCTGTCAGGAGTGCACAGGAACACAGAAAGAAGCCAAAACTGAAGAGAAAAGTACTGAAATACATCTAAACCCGAACATCCCTCACAAAAAAATGACAATACTCCTTAAAAAATATATAGATTCAGGCATATACTGCAATAACACTGCATCTTATTACTGTACTGTAGCAGATATGATGGCTCATATATAGATATAAAACCTAAGCTTTAAGATCATTAAATATGGTACAGCATCTCTCTTTTCTGCTTATCGCACGTCTAAAAATCTGCTTTCACACGTCACAATCTGTAAGCACAGAAAAGGTAAATACATCAGCTTCTATGGAAGACACTGCGGAACAAACTCTCTTCAGTTTCATGGCAATTTCATGTCAGAAGTGAAAACAGAAACAGACTAAACTGACACTTTTCTCACAGACTTTCTGGTAATCTGCAAGAAGAACAAAAAAAGGCTTAAAAAGTTGTAGTTCCTTCTTCGCTCGTCAGGTCTTTCTTCTGGATAAAAACAGTTAAGCTCCATTAGTTATATAGCTGTTAGCCCTCATGTAGTGTAAGCTGCAGTGGTAAGAGGTTCACACTACCATTAACCCTTTGTGACACAGGGAAAAAGGGAGAAACTGGAGAAAAGAATAAGAATAACTGAAGTGATGCTCAAATATGGGGTTGCGCATGCCTTCTTCGTGTGTCTCAGCTCTGTCTCCTCGTCATCAGCAGTCACTTTTGATTTATTGAGTGGAAAATGCTGCTAAAAATATATTCAAAGTGCTCACACCTAACAGAAAGGTATTTATGTGGTTAATCTTAATCACATTGAGGGTGAATGATAGATGCAGCACTATATCTATGTGTGTTTATGTAACTTTGTCATTCTTCAGATTAGGCTGACATTTGTCTGCTGCTGGAAAAATGGTGGTTTTTCCTAGATCCCTGCATCCAGGATGCATTTGCCAGAGAATGAGCTGAACATGAGATCATAAACTCTGTGTTCATCTAATCTAATGCAACTGAGGTCCTGAGTCATAAATAACTGCCGAATGACTTATAATTGCAGAATTTGCAAATAACGTCCTGCTTTTCCACTGAGTTTAATAAAACATGTTTGTAATTTAGTACTAAGCCTTTTCTTGTCTAACTGAATGCATTTTTTCTCTATAAATTACATAATTACATTCACAAAACTTCACACAAATTAAAAAACAAATTCTATATGTCACAATTTTTTAATGACTAAATGACTTTAACGCCCCAAAACCTCGCCTGTTTTTCTGCCTGGGGACTGTCTGAGTTTACTCTGTACTAAAAGCTTTGTTATGTGTCCCTGATCATATGTAACCTGAATGACTTCATTGCCCCAGATGCATTTATAGAGTTTGTAGACTAGCTCCAACCTTTGAGCCATTTACTAAAAACACTATCATGTGTGACCGGGCTCAATGAGATGCTAACTGTAATGGTACTTATACATTTTATAGCTTTTGTTTAAGTAAAAGTCGTACTAAGATTAAAATATGAGTTTTTTTAAAGAGTAATGTGGCCAATTTTATGTAATATTTCCCTGCTGCAGATCATGCCCAGATTTGTCGCCCACCATGGGGCTCTATCAGTAGGCTTAGTTTATGGGTCACTTCCCTTCAAATTATGTGGGCATGTACAGTAATATGGGCATGTGTGTGTATAATTGTGCTGTCCTCTAATCAATTACCTGAAGTTAGTCTCAAACAAAAGGGCATGTGCTAGACGCTGTAGGTGTGTGTGTGTGTGTCTGTACAGTGAAGCAAAGGTCAGACGTCAGTGCTGTAGGAGCGCGGCGGGGGAGGAAACGTGTCCGAGGGACTGCAGTAGCTCAGAGGGGAGGAGCTCTGAGGGTGAACCGACAGGGGAAGAGATACAGACGGGTTCTCGTAGTAAGTATGGAAGCCGAGACGCTCCCCTCCGTTACGCATGTCGTCTGTGAGTCCCGAGCGCAGGGTGTACGGTGAACAGCTGGGGCAGTGGTGAGAACCCGAATCCAGCTGATCCAGAGAGACGGGGGTGATGGCAGTGCCGTCCATGGCGAGGGCGTTGCAGGCGTTGCATGGAAAGTGAGCGAGAGGATCCGGTCCTGCCATGGAGGCCACGTCCACCTCAGAATCATTTTTCTTACAGCAGTAATACTGCAGGAGGATGACAAAGAAGGCACCAGGGTGTGAGCAAGAAGAACAAGGGTTTGGATGTCTTCTTAAACATTCTGTGATTCTGATTGCTTTATCACAGCAAAATAAAGTTGTGATATCAAAATCAAAATATGAACAGTGACAAACAAAATTCTGTTTAACATGGTGGGAATACTTAGAAGTAGTTTTTTTTCAGAGGCAGGTGAAAAGACTGACAGTATACTCAGACACCTGTCACTAGGCTTTGGAAGGGCAGTCTGCACTGTGCTTTGTGCAAATGTTGAACCACTGACTGCTCTGGCCACCACATCTGCTTTTATTGTAACCAGATCCAGCTGTGACTTGGTACTAGAGTGCTATGTTACATAAATGAGACAGAATGTGGAAAACCATGTTAAGGTGGCAAACAATTAGACTGGGTTATGGCTCAGTCTCACTAGATTAAAAATAGGACTGCAACATCCTCGAGTTGCCCGGTGACTGAAGTGAATTTTTGGCAAATTTAGGGAACGATTGGAAGTAGGTCGCCTCCAGGTTGAGCGCTCGACAACCTCAATCTCACAGCAACCACTTTTGCTTGTTTGTTTGATTGTTTCTATTTTAACTATTGCAATATGACTGAAGCCTAGAATTTACTCTGTTGTGGACATGGACAATGACAGCTGGACGGTCAGACAGCTGAGTACTCATCCCTGTTACTACTTTTTGAAGTCTGCCAACTTGGTTGGTTGTCTGGTGATTTAAATTTCTTGTTTTTTTACTCTATAATTGTCTGTCTTTACCTTACTGACTGACTGTTGCTTTAAATTGGCACTATGTAAATAAAATTGCATTGAAATGAATTTTATATCTTAATTTTTAAACGCACACAGATTGCAATCAGCTAAATCAATATGTGGCAACAAGTGCAACTAGTCTGCAATGGGTCTCTTTGGATAAGGTGACTTCATCCAGCTGGTTACCAACTTGTTTGTTTGGCAACCAGCTCTGCCTTGTGGTTATATTTATTAATAAAAGCAAGTGGCTAGCGTCTATGATATTTTGCTAGTAAATTAAAATCCTGGAGCAACTACAACAATATCTGTGGAAACCTTTCTGTTTCAAGCCTGAGAAGTTCAGTCTGGACTCTGATTGCAAGTTAATGCGAATTTCCAATTAGTGTGAATTACTGTGCATGTAGATGGCAACAGATTTGCACTAATTTATCACAGTATTATATCAAACAGATAGCAAGTAACTGCCAACTTGACGCTACTTAATTGCAGACTAATAGCAGACTGTGTCAATTTGCCATTTTTTCACTCGCTTTTAAGATGCCAGCTGAGTGCGAGTGGTGCCCATCTTTGAAGCAAGTATTTCAAAGACAGTAAGACTGCAAGTTCATTGCACACGGTCACAAACTAGATTAGTTAGTTGAGTTTGTTAAGCCAGTAAACATCAGTAATGTAAAAAGAGCTTTTGGGTGAACAGCAAACTTCCTAAAAGACCAAGAAACATGAACGTGCACAGTAATACCTGGAGTCTACAGTAACAGAGAACTGCTACAATGCACAGCAGTATCACTCCGGCAAGTATTCCTCCGGTTATGACAATAGTTCCCGCTGACATCCGACCAGCTCTCCATCAAACCCTTCACACAGAATCAACAAAGACAGAAAAGAGGCGAAAATGAGTCAAGAATTACATTTGGATTTCAGTAATGTTAGAATAACTTCCGCAGAATATTTAGCATACTTACGTCCAGCAAAGGTTTCTAATGCCTGAAAAAATAACCAAAATAGGCTGGATTAGTGTATTTATATGCCATTATTATACAATTGCAACTGATAAAAATGCACAAATGCCATTCTTCCAAAATAAAAGTCCTTCTGGGTTTTCATGATGTATAAAAGCAAAGCTGCTTTGCTTCGAGCAAATATGATTCAAACGATTCTGTTTCTGATTGAATCAAATGACAAACTCTGGAACAGGAAACATTTATAAGACTATTTACTCTTTACAAACTGTATTTGCCAGAAGTCTGTCCATACCCCAAACTAGGTCTACTTACATCGTTATTGGGTTCAAATAGTGAGATATTTTTTTTGTCATATTTTCGCTGAGCTGCAGTTGATTATCACCATACAGGGAGTGCAGAATTATTAGGCAAGTTGTATTTTTGAGGAATAATGTTATTATTGAACAACAACCATGTTCTCAATGAACCCAAAAAACTCATTAATATCAAAGCTGAATGTTTTTAGTTTGTTTTTAGTTTTAGCTATTCTAGGGGGATATCTGTGTGTGCAGGTGACTATTACTGTGCATAATTATTAGGCAACTTAACAAAAAACAAATATATACCCATTTCAATTATTTATTTTTACCAGTGAAACCAATATAACATCTCCACATTCACAAATATACATTTCTGACATTCAAAAACAAAACAAAAACAAATCAGCGACCAATATAGCCACCGTTCTTTGCAAGGACACTCAAAAGCCTGCCATCCATGGATTCTGTCAGTGTTTTGATCTGTTCACCATCAACATTGCGTGCAGCAGCAACCACAGCCTCCCAGACACTGTTCAGAGAGGTGTACTGTTTTCCCTCCTTGTAAATCTCACATTTGATGATGGACCACAGGTTCTCAATGGGGTTCAGATCAGGTGAACAAGGAGGCCATGTCATTAGTTTTTCTTCTTTTATACCCTTTCTTGCCAGCCATGCTGTGGAGTACTTGGACGCGTGTGATGGAGCATTGTCCTGCATGGAAATCATGTTTTCTTGAAGGATGCAGACTTCTTCCTGTACCACTGCTTGAAGAAGGTGTCTTCCAGAAACTGGCGGTAGGACTGGGAGTTGAGCTTGACTCCATCCTCAACCTGAAAAGGCCCCACAAGCTCATCTTTGATGCTACCAGCCCAAACCAGTACTCCACCTCCACCTTGCTGGCGTCTGAGTCGGACTGGAGCTCTCTGCCCTTTACCAATCCAGCCACGGGCCCATCCATCTGGCCCATCAAGACTCACTCTCATGTCATCAGTCCATAAAACCTTAGAAAAACCAGTCTTGAGATATTTCTTGGCCCAGTCTTGACGTTTCAGCTTGTGTGTCTTGTTCAGTGGTGGTCGTCTTTCAGCCTTTCTTACCTTGGCCATGTCTCTGAGTATTGCACACCTTGTGCTTTTGGGCACTCCAGTGATGTTGCAGCTCTGAAATATAGTAGTTGTATTTTTAAACATTGGCACATGAAGGGTAGCTGTTTAGCACTGCATGCTGTCTTAATGCTGAGCTCATCCCCTCCCAGCTTCTGCTCAACACTCAGTGAACTAACATGAGAGGAATTCTGAGCTGCAATACTGAACTATTTCTTTCATTTGTAACCCATCTGCAGGCTATAGCCTCCAGGCTAATGTTTTTTTGTTTTTTTAATTTTCAGAGGTTAAGTGCTCAGAGCAAAAATAATCTTTTCAAGGCGCCGTCAGGTCTGAATTCCAACAAACCAACCGAACACACACATAAGAAGACAGCGGGAGAATGTAAGGAGGTAGGAAACCATAGCAGGCCTGAGGACTGTTACTCTCAAAATCACCTCTCTTTGGAACTCCTGCAGGTAGAAAAAGAGGCTTCTGTCAGGAGGAAATGTTTGGCATGAGAAACGCTACATAGCAGCTGTTGTGCTATGCCGCTGATAATTTCTATGATTCTGTAATTATGTAATTTATATTCAACCAAGCAACTGTTTAGCCCATAAATACAGTGTAGTTATATAATGTGTGGCTTTTAAAAATTAAATAACACACGTGGTTGCCTAAAATGTCTAAAAGTAGTTTATAAAATACACCCCCAGGCCACATTTTAAGCTGCTTGTTAATACAAATCAGCCACTCAGGTGGGAGCAGCCCAATGCATTGCAGCTCAAGTCTGAAGAAGTGCTTCGTTGATTTCAGAGCTCAGAGGAGAATGGCCAGACTGCTTCATATTGATAGGAAGGCAACTTAGAAAAGTACATTTATAACGACAAAGGTATGCAAATGAGTATCTGTGAAGGGATAATACATCAAATCCTTGAAGCAGTGTGTGTGGTCTTCTGTTGTAGCAGCAGTAGACCACACCCACTGCCACTCCTGCTATCTAAAGAACAGGAAACTAAGGCTACAATTCACCAAAATTAGCCAATAAAACACTGGAAAATGTTACCTGCTCTGCTGATTTCTGTAAGTAATTAGAATAATAGGTTGAGAACTTGGTATAAACAACGTGAAAGCACAACAGTTCCAGCTGCTGCTGGTGATGTAAAAGGTTGGAAGTCTTTGGGGCCCTTAGTGCCAGTCAAGCATTGTTTAAACACCACTCCATACACAAGTGTTGTCCCTGACTATGTCCATCCTGGTATGACCACAGTGTACCCATCCCCTGATGGTTGCTTCCAGCAGGATAGCACGCCATGTCACAAAGCTCAAATCATCTCAAACTACTTTCTTGAAAATGACAGTAAGTTCACTGCTCTCAAATGGCCTCCACAGTCACCTGATTTCAGTTCAATAGAGCAACTTTGGGATGGAGTGGAATGGAAGATTGATATCACGAATGTGCAAGCAATATTTCTGCAGCAAATGCATAATGCTATCACGTCAAACCAAAGCCTCTGAAGAATGTTTCCAGCATCCAGTTGAATCTATGCCATGAAGAATTAAGTCAGCTCTGAATGCAAAAAGGAGTAAAGCCACATGTACCTAATGAAGTGGCTGGTGGGTTTGTATTACAGCCGCTATTTCATGACAAAGAATCTGTTCTTTCTATATAACCCATAAATAGGCATACAAAGGAATGAATCACGCTCACTCCAGAATACTTAAAACAACTGGGAGCTGTTTTGAATTGAAAAATAACACTCAACGTGTGGTTGAATTAATCTGCTGAATGCAGCAGCACATTCTCTGCATGCTAATAATATGTGTGGCATTTCATACAAGTATGTGCAGCACAGTTTCAGGATAATAATAATAATACATTCAAGCGATATGTCGCTTGTCCTTTTTTTACTGTGACAGCTTCAAAATCACCTCTCACTGCTGCGCTGATAGCTGCCACCATGAAATCTCCTGGATATTATCAGGGCATACTGTCACATGAACCCAATTCCTCTCCCCTTTTCTTTGCTTTGCAGGTAAATAACCTTAAGCAAACCGATCTGATTGACACTGAGACACAAAAGAACCAAAGCAGTGTAAAGAAATAAAAGAAAAGAAATAAATCAATGCAGATGCACGTATATTTATCTCCAAAGCGCACAGCAAATTTACTGTCTCGCCTCAAAAAGATCTGCTTCTAAACAAGCCTGTCTAGAGAAAGCACTAAATTAGCTGCGTGCGAGCGATAAAGAACCCTGTGTGTGTGTGTGTGTGTGTGTGTGTGTGTGTGTGTGTGTGTGTGTGTGTGTGT